TCCACCTCGTTACGTAACAATCTTAGAAAGTTCATTTGATTAATGTGTTGTGAAATCTGAACTTTCATTCCCTCAATGGTAATACAATTTTCGTTTTACCATATCAATGCTTTTAGTATCAATTTCATGCCTGAAACTTAACTTATACTAATCGAAATTCACTTGCAACGAAAACAAAAGTAATAATAGTAATCAAAGTTTTCTGTCTGTGAAATAAGAAACTAAATGAGCGCAAAACCTCAAATAATCGGTCTTGTATCCCCAGGGCATTAATTTTTCTGCTGTCGCCCTTGTAAATCACAAACACATAAAAAATTGAGCAGTTCCTCATTCACGTAACACGCTCAGTTGCGGGCACATAGAAAAGAGGAACCTTTGGCAGCTTTCTCTCTTATAGGCACTGCGACTTTCGCCTTGTTGCACATAACCTTTTCGGATATAGTGAAGTAGAAAAATTTGCACATCCTTCCACACTCAAATCGAGCTCTGGTTAAGAATCTAGTTCCAATTACATAAATGTTAAATGATATTTCTGTTACGCATTGTACAATCAACGTTGAATTCATATCTTTAATATAATTTTTTGTTAAGAGAAGATGGACACAGTTCCCCACATTTAACAATGAATAAACTAACTACATGTAGTTGAGAAGTTCAGAAACTCGCCGAACAATAAAGGTATTCAGCTTTCAAACTTGAATATAATACAAGTTTCTCTATTTTCCGCTATCGCAATATATCACTGAATGCCTGTCAGAAAATCCCAAGAGCAATATAGGCAAGCTGAATTGAGTTGTGGCAAGCACTTTACCAAAATACGTCAGCACCTCGTTCACTGTATGGTGCATAAATGGATCTAAATCAGATTTCTGGTAATTTTACGTTTGTACTACTTGGTTCAATAATTATTTCACACATTTACATTCGATTTGGTGCTATAAGGGTAATTGTCTTTTCTATTTGCCTCATGTCGTGGATTGATTTTTAGCGTAAGCGTAACACAACGAAGTTGAGGTAAAGCTTATGTGCTCGTGTTTCCGTCTGTCCGTCCGTCCGTTCGTTCCATCGAGATCTCGGCCCCTGGGCCACCTACAGACTTCGGGTTTTCGCGAATTGATAGCTAAAACTGAAAAAATTACCCTTACTTAGACCTTCCTTAAGTTTTCCGTCACCATTTAAATTCCAATACAAATAGGTCTCTATTTGCTCTATTTAATAGGTTAAAAAGGATTCCAAATAGATTTAGCTACCGTGTAAATATCATTGCAAAGCTTTTAAACCGCATGGTACGAAGTAAATTGGGAAAATTAGATATCGTTGTTCTACTAAGTTCTGCAATGAAAATTTAATGGAGTTTAACTCACAGTTGGAAATCTACGATTAACTAATTGCGGAACAGGCAGGTGTCGGATAATGAGAATTCCTGGCGAAGGCAGTAAACGTGACAGGTGGGAAAGACGTAGTGTTGTTCGGTCCAAATAATGTTTCCGTTTAAACGGTTTCTTCGACGAAAACGTTCCACCAAAATAATATATTAGCTATAATGAAACATTCCGAAAGACGTATGGTTCTAAAAGTAAGTTGCGTGGAAAGAAACGAAGGAAGTGGGATACTGAAGGAATCTTTAGACCACGATCTTACGAGTTGATCCTTACTGTCAAATACATTTAGGGAGGCCATGATTTTAGTTATAATCTGACATGAGGCACACAGCACTGTTTTGCCTAGATAACGATTTTTGTCTGTGCACATAGCATTCCCTTGAGGCTTGATACATTGTAATATACGTTAATGATGAGCTTTGAGCAAAAGCCAACTGTTGCCTATCGATTCTACGAAACACAATGAGTTTAATCTGTATTACGGCAATGAAAACTATTCTCGACTATGGCTTGAACTTCACTAGCTATACTTGTGTACTCTAAACACACAAGTACTTGATTCATTACTTTTCCTTACTCCAATTGCTTTCATCTAACCTCAAAATATATTCGCAAACATTAAAAAGAAAATGCGTACTTTTGACGATTAAATTGAATTGTCGGCGACCTAGATTTCCGACAAGAGCTTTTCGATTGATTGACCTATAAAACACAAGTTGTACACTTACGTGCGTGGAGTCATTTGGTATTTCTATGTGGTGGACGTATTAATGGGGCGATAGATCTTTTAGGACTGGCGTTGCGAGTAGTAAATATCAAAATATAAAATCACTTACGCTCTGATTATTAAGAAATCGTTTCCAATATGGAGATGCCGTCTACGTTTTTCATTAATGACTGATTTATGCCTCCTACCAACCTTCAGTTTATTAAAAAAACGTATATTCTTCTCTAAATAGATGAGTTCACTAATGACTTACCTAACCATAATTGCGCTGACGCATAGTTTTGGATTTGGTGAATCGACTAATAGAAATGGTGTTTTGCTATAGATAAGTCAAGTTGTTTTTGTAGGCTTTATCAATTAATTTTTGCGATTAGATCGACACGTTACCCTTCATGATTCATTCGCTATGAACACAAATTTGGATGTAAAATTATATACTGAACGTTCTATAGACAAACAAAATTTGCTGTGGTTAGCGCAGATACCACCCGCACACCTGCATATGAGCGATTCTGCCCTTTTCTGTCTAAGAATATGTGTACCAAATTTGGTTCCAATCGGTTTAGCCGGAAATAAGAGTTTGACACACTTGCGCAGGCCCGAATCTCTCCAATAGCTTTTCAGTTCTTCCTTTTATGTATAAGAATATGTGTTCCAATTCCAAATTTGTTATAAATCGGTTTAGCCGTTTAGCCGGAAATGAGAGTACAGATAGACCGACAGACAGACCGAAAGATCGACATCATCAAGATTTTGTTTGATTCGGATTCCTGGTGCTTCAAAACGTGTATTTCCATCAAAATAGGGGGAAAGGGTCATGTTTTACTCCAATGCAATAACCTCCCTTTACTAACGTGCGGGTGGTAATAATACTCGTAGCTTCCTTTTAATATTCATATGTCGAAAAACGGCCCTCTTTTCAAAACAGAACATTTTAAATTTATCCAAAGTGAAATCCACTGGCGAGGAACAAACATTTCCATCATAAATTTGATCGATTGTAAGGTGTATTCTATTGAGGTGAATTTTAAATCCAGTTTTACTCTTGAATTACCTTTTACAGATGGAACAGTAAAAATTCGTGGACTGTAATGATGATGGAGACGAGGATGACTTAGTTGCCGTTTCATTTTCATTTTCTGGAGTGAAAAAGTGAGGCCGAAAAAACTTCCCCGGATTTGATGCCATATTTCCGATTCCGGTTGATGTATTTGGTATTTGTGAGGAAAATGATTTCCACATTCCCTTGTGAGCTTGGCTCATGTGAATTTTCAAACCATGTTCATTTGTAAAACATTTGTCGCAATTATCACGTTTCGGAATCCTTAGTGAAATACATGAGAATTGGAGCAGATTGGTTTTTCGTTCGGATCCGGGCTCCAAATCGTCGAACTATTTATATGGAATTTCGAGCAATTGTAACATAAAAAACTACGGAGTTGTGTAACAAAAATATTCTTTTATTTGCTCATGATCTTAGAAAGATTGTTTATTTGTAGCCATCCAAATACTTTTGTATTGATTGAAATACGAACACTGTTGGTAATTATTTAAGATGTATACGATTCAAATTCTGAATCGAATTCAAATCCTTTTTAGAAACGGAATGCTAAATTAGAAGGCAAAATTATTCGTGATCCGGATCATTAATTTGGCTTGGAAGCATTTAACCATCTGTCAAATCATTTTTTGTGAACCCGTTTCAGTTTCAAATCGGCGGCCTAACATCTGCGAAATTATTATTTAACTAGATTCGTATCTGGGATTTACATAATTCTAAATATCCAATGCGTGGTTCGAATCACTGCCGAGGATTGTGTTGCGGGATTTTAAAAATTATTTAGGGATTTCATCAGACTTGGATCAAGATTTCTTTTTTCCCTTACCCAACATTCGGGTTCTAGTACCTATTCAAAAAGATTTCTTTAACTCTGAACAAAAATAATGTATACATTCATTCCCATTTTCACATTATAGGAATTCGTGAAGCTTTGTTAAAAGTAAATCGAGGGTAATATGCGACGACATAAAGCAAACCGAGTCTAAATTGTACATACTAACCTTTTCCACAAAAATACACGGCACCTACAACAAACTGGATTCAGTACAAAGGTAAAGATAACCCTGAGATGGTAGGAGGATACTATTTCCCTTCGGGTGTGGAAATACTTATGTGGCCGTGGCCATAAGATCGACAAAAAACATTCATAATTTCCCCATCGTGTTTCGTTTAAAACCAGAATTAAATTTGATACAATTATAGCGTAATGGATTGTTTTAATTTCTGTCACCAAATCTAATTAGCGAATATGCCGGGGTTCGTGTACATTACTTAATTTTAAGTGGTTTGAACTTAATTGCACAAGCAGAGGAGTGTAGGTGTGCTGCTATGTGTATAAAATAATAGGCGACAGTTTCTTTGTTCAATTCTCTTTACAATAATCGTATTCGTATTCGAAATGGTGGTACAGAGAAAGTACGTTAATTCCTTGGATATTGCATTATCCCTTTCTTAATTAGGATTCTTATTCGTTTCGGAAAATTGATTTGTATTCCTCTCCCTATCCTAATTCCTATCCTTAAGTGGACAGCCGACAGAGAATGTCTTAAGCCGTCGAATCCCATTACGACTCTACCACTTGCGTTTTAGAATTCAGAAAACTTGTGAGAAACAGGTAGCCGAAGGCACCTTTCACGGATAAACGCGTCAATTTTTATGATATTCGGCTTGAGATGCGTGCTCCAAACAAATTGAGGGAATCGATTATGTTTGTCAAGTTGCTGCGTCGATTTGCCGTGGAATTACGCCAATACTGTTCTTAGAGATATAAATGATGTAGTACTTTTATTCTGAAATCTGAGCAAAAATTTAAATTCGAAATTTGTTTCAGATGGAAAGGGTCGAGGTTGCGTTCACTGTTATTTGCATATCGGCGTTTATCTTACTATTACTCGTCGCACTTTACCATTGGTCAACTTTTTGGACTTGGTTGGCGACGTGGATTTTATCAACACGGGAGGAGAAGGTCGGCCTAACTAGATCCAAAGTGTACAACGCCAACGGCTATTTGGTACTTATCGTCTTCTGCGACGTAACCGTATTTCTCATCTAAACTGTTTAGGTTAACTCGGATTCCGATATACACCTAGACGCTATTGGAACGTTCAAAAGATTTGACTCCGTTGATCGAGACTTTAAGATAACCTTAACGACTACGAGTTTGGGAGGCCAATGGAATAAGGTAGAAGAGGATGAGACCATTCCTCCGCAACCTTTAAGGCCTGCACCCACATCGGTGCCCACGTCGCCTAAAACTACGAAGACGCCGCCTTTAATTATCGAAGAAAACGTACCCGCAATAAGGTAAGTGTAACGAGATTTTACTTTTACTTTGAACTTGATACTACCGCCCCGCGACTATTAGAGTCGTACGCCCCTGGCAACGTTATTAAAGCCACCCCAAGTTGGCAACACTGAATGCGCGCAGATTCATAATTTTTATACCTATACGATTCTATAAATTCTGCATTTGTTTTCTCATTTAAGCATGTATCTCTCACGGTTTACGAGATCCCATACTAAACATTGGAAAAAACTCACCCTGTATATGAGAACAACTTATATGGATATTAAGCCTTTTTCCTGTATCAAATTCTCTTTTGCAATAAGCACAATTATGAGTTTGTACATTTAGGTACCTAATTCTTGATGTCTCAGCTTTTGTGATGATGGTACAAAAGCAGGTACAAAAGTTTGCAAAGTGAGTGTTGTGCTACTCGTTGGTAAATAATTGCTATCGAACGAATCGACGCTTGACAGTGACATTTTAGTTATAGAGAACGCTTTTTTGCCTTTGTCCGAGTATAATAATGGAATTCGGAACAAACGAATAAATAGCGGGCAATATCATTAGAACCTATGCGAATATTCCCTTCAGGGATGATTTATTGGGTTTTATCTCCATAAGCGAGACGAACTGGGATGTAAACGAGGGCGACTACCAGTTCTGCAATCTTATATTTCATTCAATGTTACTTTATGCTTTATGTTAATTTATATACAGGGTGTCCCATTTGTCTTGAGACAGTCGATTATTGAGGAAACTAGCGGGGATATCAAAAAATGCTTTATATAACATCTTCTTCATATGGATAGGCCCATGCATTTTATTCTTATTCTACATCGGAAAATAATACTTTCGTGGGAAATGTTTTTTCCACTCTTCTAAAAGCGCTATTTTTGGTTTGGGCTAGGAAGCTGTTGTGTCAAGAATTTGGCAAATTTTTTAGTCACATTCGTGGTGGTTGAGTGATGGTAAACAAATGAGAACTACTTTGGGCTAAGACATCTTATTGTTCTGTAACTGTAAATGATTCTTACGTATGGGAAAGTTAATGTAGTTGATGCTGTTTGTGAAGTAACTCCGCCCTGCTGTGGTTTAAACTGTGGAAACTTCTATGCCCATTCTTTTTGAGGTTTTGCTTTGCTGCACTAAGCAGACACTCTCTTACAGACAATAGCACTTACCAAGAATCGTTTTTTTTTGTAAATTTTTTTGAGAAGAGCTTATAACTTCTAGACTCTGAACCCCCAGATTTACCCTCCCGATTTTATACCTACCAAAAGATTCTTATACACTGCCCTAAAGCAATTTACAATTTCGTAATGTACTAAAAGATCATAATCAGTATCACATCTTACCATAAACGTTGTTTCTAACAATCTATACATGGTTGCCAAATTTAAACACCGGATATTTCATTTTTTTAATGGATTCGAGTGTGAACAAGTATTTATTACATTTAATCGCAATTATCACCCAACAATTAGTGCCTATAGGTCTTCTGGGTGCATATTTTATCGCAATTTTTGGCATTTCGAAATATTCGAGAAGATAAATTAAAGGAAAAAGCCCAAAACTCAGTAGTCCAGTTACCCAAAAAAACTTTGGAGCATAAATTGAAATGAATTCTTCAATATGTTGTGAGGAACATAATTGGAAATAACAACCCATATTTCATAAAAATGATGTAGAAATTTAGAAAATTTAATTAGTGCTTCGCAGCCCCAGTAGGTTTATAATTGCCCTATATCCTATAAAAAAACAAATAAACAGGGGTTCTCACTGAAATGACTTATCGGTGTAAAATATAATGTATAATTAAAGTAATGGACACAATTTTATTTCATTTAATTTATTGTCCTCATTTGATTTCATTAGTTCTTCTATTCTCATTTCATTTTATGAAGTCCATTAAACTTGTTCCATTCATTTTATGTATAAATCGTCGCTCTTCGATCAAATAATAAACAAAGCTCTTTCTTTCTTTTTTTCTTTGTTTCTTTCTTTGATCTAAAATCTACTGTATGCATGACATTCATTCAATTATACTATTTTATATTTTAAACCAAAGTACAATTTCAAGATCCATTTTCTAGGATGTAGGGCAATTATAAGGGACCTACTGAAACTATACGATTAACCTTACCTATTAAGAGTCACCACAACTTTTTGAAATGGAATGATATCCTTGCCATATGTATACAATCTCAAAAAGTTTTATCACATGAATTCAGTAATGTCAGTTTTCCGTTAATCAGGCGAAAGTAAGTAAACACGTTGCTATTTTACCACTAAATGGAACACGTTGGCCTTCTTCGTTAATGTTTAATTCCATTATCCGATCATCCACATTCAAAGTAGTGAGATGATCTTTTGGTAATTTAGCATCCGGCCCTTTAATCCCTAATTCCGCCCTTGACTGTAACGCACGGCATTTAATTTTTCCAAACTCTAGAATGCAATTTCTCCTCTGTAGTTTATAATTGCGGCTCAAAAAACGTTTGCAATGTATCGTTCAATAACATGAATATTGCGTTCGGTTTCATGTAGGCACAGACATGAGACATACGTAATTTCAATTGTGAGCCGCGAATTTGAATCACATTATTTGAGAGTCGAAAGGAACGTCTCTTGGATACGTAGGTAACAGTCTTATATACCATTCTATATGGGTGGCAGCCCTCCATAACCGCAATTTCCTTTAGTTTTTTAAAGAAAAAGTATCCGCTTTTATAAGGAGGCACTCATCATCGTCATTTTTGGTAACATAATCCATCGCCTTTCTTTTTTTTTGTTCGGTATCTGCATAGTTCACAGTTACTGTCTTTCCGTCTTTCTTTCAAAAAACGTACAAAACTAATCTTTCACTACTTGCATCAAAGTTAAGACCACATCAGACAGGCACGACAGGAACCCATTTGTGATATATTACTGCATTTTACTTATAAATAGAAAATTGTGCGTACGTCTCCGATTGGCATCTTTTTAGAGCTCGACTCTTACTACGCTTTCATTTTATTTATGTATGCACCTTCCAATTTCCGTCCCAGAACAAAAGGGTACTCAGACAAAGCTTTGAGTTCATTTTCTTTAGTGGTCTTTTCAGAAGCTTCGCAACGAGTCGAAGTTTAATGTATGCGGCATTGATGATGTACTTTCATTAATAACATTATCTGCGTTGTTTACTCTATGGTTTAATGTATACTTAGGAACGAACGCGCGCTTTTCATCATTTTCAATGTATAAAATATAAGTTAGTAAATCAAGTGGAAATGGCTTTTCGTGTATATCAATTGAATAAGGAAAATTCCTTTTCCATGGTATAACTTTGGTTATTTGTAAAAATTAAGGTTTCTCTTAAAATTTCCTTAAAAATTACTTACACTACTAAACCAAACCGTGATAGAAAATATATATGCAATCTAAAAACACACCATAACTTTTATTTGAACGAAAAACTAAACAGTACTATAAAAGGCCTAAATTTAGTTACTGTTTTAAGTTGCAACTTTCTGATTAATGTGCGTTACTTACCACCTAACAACATCGACAAAATTAAGCATATGTATGTACCTTATAATCACCGAGGACGTTTCTCATACCAGTAACCGCAAATCTCCTTCGCACTAGAATTTGAAAGTTCCACGCCTGTGATAAATATCTGCGGTTTAAAAGAGTTTTTATAATTATTTCACTCAAATCCCTAAAACTAAGGCTGAAAGCGTTTAAAAAGTGTATACTGGTTTAACATTTCTTTATAATTTTAAAGGCAACACTGATCGGGATTATCGTACGCTCAACCTCAAAAGCTATAGGTACTAAATGATATGTAATAGTGAGTGAATTTTTGGTTGATAACACATCCTTATGGTACTAAAAGCAAAATAATTCTTATGTAAAGTTGAGAAGTCGTTTCTTTGGGAGTGTCTCTTAATATCTACGCCTAAATTCAACGTAAATTTGTAATGGGTGATTAAAAAAGGAATGACGTCGGGTCGCCTTTGGAAGTTCAAGTCAAATATGATTTCGCATGTAAACAAAAATTCCAAAGGTGACTCGACAGCAACTCTTTTTTTGATCGCACAGTATAAAGAAAAGAATTATCTTATGTGATTGGTTATTATACTTACTGATGTGTATTTAAACAACCCTTGTTATAAGAGCAGTTTCTTTATGTTTAAATAAATTTTTTCTTCTTTCTCCATTGTGTATATCCACTTTCTTTCGCAACTAAGTTCAGAGCCCGTTCCTCTCAGCAAAGGGTAGAACCGTCCTTGCTTAGTCTAAGCTGTTTCACCCTCCCCGGTTCCAGATAACTGGCGCCATAGAACTGATGTCTGTCTCTGATCAGGGCGTCACAGTGACAGACTTCATGCATCTAACAGAATAACTTTCCATGTTTTTGGTTAGCCCCTTAACGAGATATTGCCAAAAATATTTTGTAATTTCTCCCCGTTCTACCCGTCTGTAAACCACACGATTCCCACATGTGTGAGGAACGGACAATCTGAGTTCGAGAGAGTGGTCTTATTATAACCCTTCGAGTAAGACAGCTCGGATCACATCCCTTCTTGCGAGGACGAGGTCGGATCTCAGGGTGTATTGTCTTAACCACTTAAAGAAACTATTTGTGCTTTTAAACTTCTGTATTCGTATACTAAATTATTTACACAATAGGAAAGAAGCAAATAAACCCGCGAACTCGACTCGGCCTTTCTTCAGTTTTACCATAAACCAAGTTAGTTTCGAAACCGATATAAAATTTTCGTAGTAGTCGCTCGTGGAAATTTAATTTACGTCTGTCGAAACCACTTCAGTGCGCTTTAGGTTTAGTACAGAACTTCGAAATGTAATAAAGTACAAATTTACATTCTTTCCCTTCACTATTGTATTACAAAGTAATCATTTTAGATTTAGTTCAATCTTTAAGATTGAAGTAGGGCGAGTAAGGTACGCAACTGTAACGTAAAGTCATTACAGAAATATAAATGGCGCTGATTACATCTGCTGAATGTATGGA